GGTGACCTGAAAGAGGGTGGTAGGGGGTGAAGCGCCTTCGTCAGCGACGATAGGCAAACATGCCTGCATTTCTGCATGTAGTACCGGGTGTTCCGATGCCTGCGACCAGGGTTGGCATAGAGTATTACATTAAATTTTAACTTTTTGCCGCTGAAAGTGCAAAAATTTTGATGTCTAAATAATTTAGCACCACGGGCTAAATTATTTTCGCTATCCCATTTCGCCCCCTTAGGGCAAACTTAAATGAAAATAAATTTAGCACCGTGCAAAATCGCATGGGAATTTTAATTTTTGCCCTCAAGTAAGGGTTATATTTTTGCACAGTGTGCAAAGTTTAGCACAATAAAGCAGTGTCTCGGTCATTCGGTCACTGCACTGTTGCCACATCGGCAGGCATGGTTGACAGAGCGCACAAGCTCACAGAAGGTGAAGACTGCTGCCGCCAGCCCTCCGGAGAGGAAAGAGAGAGGGTGGAGGAAGGGGGGGGGGGGGGCTGTTTAATAAAGTTGGTGAAGGGTAGGTCTTAGCGATTTTTTCACTTAACTAGACCCCCACAAAGTCACCCCCTACGAACTCAACGGTACTATCCATGAGGTTGTGCGACGCTGCGTTCAGGCTGTAGGGCATATGTGAAGAAAAAAAATCCAAGATGGCGGAGGACGTTTTTTGGCATGTCTCATTTGTTCTCTATTTATTTGATATCTGAGTGAAGTTTTTGGGTTGGGATTTCACCGCATTGGTCGCTGGACACTCCTAGTACATATTCTGTACTGTTGCCTTGTTGGCGTTAGTTATAGCCTAGCACAAAGTAGCACCCAGATTAACATGTGCACTGCAACAAATTAGAGTCTGATACAGAACGATCTACAGCGTTACTGTAGATGCCGCTCTTAGTCACTGCACCTAGGGTACAGAGCGCGTAGTACAGTGTTGCTGTAGCACCGGAAAGCCCAGTATTTACACGGTACAGTGTACGAATACGGCTCCACTGTAGACAGTTTTGTCCGCGCTTTTGCCTTACAGTGGTCCTGTACATTGCTCCCTGTACCAAATTTCAACCATTAAAACTACATCGATGC